AGGCATTCATAACCATTTAGTCATGTTGTCATTAGAATGAAAATAGAGTTAAAGTTGGTGTACACGTGCTTTTTGGTTGTGGAACCCTAAAAAAATAGATTTTCAAATTGATTTGACACTTTTGTAGCATTACATTAGTTATTAGCTTTTGAATGAGACATCGCACGAGAAAAAAAATCAGCCCATGACAAGTTATCAATTAATTAATTTCAACTTTAAAATTAAGAGCGGGACGTTCCTAATTTGTTCTGAATAGTGTGCACAACTTCTGAACAGGAGCGCACCATTTCAATTCAATGTTTAAAACTGTATAAGAAAAAAACATCAAGCAATTTTATTCCTGTATTCCTTTAAACTTCGTTCGGAAAAAATTAATCGAAATTTTGAAAAAGCACGTATATACATGTGCCAACTTTACGATCTTGACGAATAATCTTTATAACCCATTTCTTTAACCCATCTGCCCTTTTTTGCAGTTACTACGCAAACTACACAAGTTTAACATTATTATTTCGGGCTACATATTTTTTATTATAATAAGTCTTTCTAGCGCTTTCTTTTTTAGTTTTGGCCTTTGTGAAGGGTGGGCACTAAGTGCATATTGAATAACTAGCTCACTTTATGGGGGTGAAATTGAATTTGCATTGGCTATTTTGCACCTTTTGTCAAGGAAATGCATTTTTAGGGGGGGGGGACGACTTCGCGTAATGCAAACCTTTCATGGGCAGGTTGCTTTCAATTTAATCAGTTTCGTCGTCGACTACGCGCTTGCGTGGGTGATGCTCGGACTCATTTCAGATATTCTGTTGGCATGGCAACGCCGCCTGATGTCCCACGTCACAACAGACGCGTCCAAAACCGTTGCATTTCGAGCAGTTTAAGGGGGGAAAAATCCCAGAGAACATTATTAAAGAGACACTCCGTCCGGAAAAGCGCCCAATTGGGCTTACAGAACTTGTTTTAAACGAAATGATATGAATTGGAAAGAGCACTTGAAAGTAGAATCTTAACGTCCACACAACCATCCTTGAAAATGTGCCGTTTTTGTGTTATTCTTGCGAAAACGAATTCCCGGGGTAAATATTTTGACTCAAAGATCGAGGTGTTTGGGTGCTAGTCGTGATTCCAGTCGCACATTTTCTCACCAGTGCAATGCATGCTGCGGACGTGCGGGAAACAACGTGTGTGTTTTGGTGCCGTGTGTACTTGTACACATGTGTACACGTGTACATCGTACATTCGTCTGACATCATGGACACAGAGGCTGGGGCAACGTCCAAGAAGGAGACTTATATTTACGACTGAAAATACTTATGCGTTTGCCACAAAATGTCCGAAATGTCAGAAATAAACAACCGGTTTTGTTGTTGTTTTTTCTTCTTTTCTTGGGAACAGTGCGACATTAGCTTTCAGTTTCCTTTCAACCAGACTTTCGAAATAGGATAAGTAAACAATCTTAAACATAACAATTTGGGCGATTTCAGGACAATGTGTCCCTTTAACATGACTGCTTTGTAGTCAATTAATGGATGTTTAGCTTGCCCAAGAAGGGAAAACGTGAACAAAAACATCAAACGGTCTCTGCATTATAGTGCACTTTGTTGCTCCCATTGTTATAAAGGTGTAAGGTAAGGTAATGTATCCATAATGATAGGAAACTATCGTCCTTCATCTGGAGTGAAAAATATGTATGCATTACCATTTTTTCTGTTTCAAATTCATTCTTAATGTTTATTTCACTGTCTTCAAGCAAAGCTAATGTAATGTAAGCAAATCTCGCATGACCTTTTTTAAACATGGGCGTTTAAAATAAACATTCTAAATTAAAATATGACCGACATATGGACGCTGTCTTTCTAAGCCAGATGACGAAAGTTATATCTCTGCAAACACGGCAATACTGTTTGCCGTCGATCAGAACTTGCTATTTCTATCCGACTTAATATCCTCCCCGCGAGAGCAAAGCTGTCTAGGTTTATCAAAGGTCGACGTGAATTTTGCACGTCGCACCTGCTTCAACAGCCTTTATGGGTTACAAAAAAAATATTGCTATACTTCCCGGTGTTTCCTTGCGGGAAGGAATATCTCTCATTTCGGTGAAAGCCTTTTTATCCCCCGTTTCTAAATTTAGTCCGTGGTTCCGTAAACTCGAGTGGGAGATCTGAGAAGCAATTGCCTACTTCCGCTAGGCCAACGCAAACATTTTGCTATTGCCACTGTTTTCTAACAATTGAGCAAAGGGCCCTTTTTTTCCTTCTCGTGCCCGCGCAGTCTGCCAAGAAGAATGACAAATCTTCCCCCATCGGGTTCGCTATTATAGCCGATGATGTATTAATACTCATAATATTGACTCAGTAACGACTGACATGATCTGCTTGATACGAACCAGTTCGTCTGTGCACAAATATCTCCGAGCAATAACTAGTGCTGCAGCAGGGATCGTATATCCTACGGTGAAAAACAACCCAGGTGATCGGCTGAAACGGTTATATCAAAACCAAATCAGTTGACATGGATGAGGCGTGCATCTGAAGAATAAATCTCAGTTCCCTCAGGAATGACAATTTCGTTCTGTTGGATTGTGCGAGCACTGCAGGAATTTCGATTCAGAGCGCTCGGGGAAAACGTCACATCTGAGTCGCAAGAGGGAATCCCCAATGATATGACTTGTGAAACTGAATAGATGATGTGACATTTAACAGATATAGTGTTCCAGACAACGGATATAAATCAAATTGGGCACTTGTGACAGGATAAAGGCATAACACATTGGTAGCTGTACTCACATGTGCCATATGTAATAATTATAGCTATAGCCTACATCATGAGTTTCCAAAATCCCTGCAAGCCAGGTTTGATATTAATTATTTGGACATACCGAAACACAGACATAAATTGAAAGTTGTGGTGAGGCCATTCGTAACGGGAAAAAGATAATTTGAAGAGGAAAAAAGTGCGAGTGCACAATAAGCTCTGGCCGTCTTGCCTGAAAATCTTGCATGAAATCTATCAAAATGATTCCTGTCAGGGCTGAACAAAAAATGCGACGCCCAAAAAGGCGACACCGACGGTACATATGGAACACAATACTTTAGACGTATAACTATATTTATAGCGATTTGTGATAAATACCACGTGACCATAACAATACTGCACATATTTTGCCTCCATTAACACATTGTTCATGAATATGTATCCCTCTAAGCCAGTTCGTCATTCCAAAATAGTCTGGTGCCCAGCAACATTTGTCCAGTTTTTTGGGGGGATAGCTGCGGCAGAACACGAGGCTGTGGGGGACGTGGTAACCAAATCTGCATTCTGTGCAATTTTCACTGAGCAATCGAAAAGAGATGGAACTTTGGTTCGCACACAAATTTTGACACAAAAGACACCTAAAAACACTTCGCTGTCCAAATTTTTGGTTACAAAATGTTATACTTCGATGATCCCTTCAATTTTGCTGGTACCCCGCTTTGCCTTTGCACGCATACGATGACATTTGTATCCCGAAAGAAAAAAGTGCACATGCGCAGTTAGAATACCAAACTCGCTTGTTGTTACAAACAATTGTTGTTAAGCATATAATGTTTGATGTTGGCTTTTTTTTTAAATTAAAATTTGGTAGTTATAGTTTTTTTGTGGGAAGCTTATGGGGCCTTATTTTGTTCAATTTTCCGGGGACAGACCGACCGACCACCAAGTGACATGTAGAAAGTCCTTTCCAGAGCTTAAAAACCGCCAAACCGGAACTCCCGATACTTTTTCATATACCTATTCGCTGCTCTGTTTGGAAACACAGTTTTGTGTTTGTCTTTGGCCTGGGCATTCGAAACATTCAACTGTATTGCCTGGCTTGTAGGGGACAAACATTTGTTAAACAAGCACTTGCTTTATCTTCTTATACGCTTTCTTCAACTGACACAAATTCCAGGCCGATTTTAAACATCTTTGGCGTCGATATCATAAAAAAAATGCGACCGTGCGAATTGTGATGGAGTGCCTGCAGTGGACAAAGTACACAGGTCTCTCCGATAGTGTTTTTGTAACCGAGTGTTGAACATGGCGATGGGATTGTACTGAGTGTCAAGAAAAAAAAAGTTTGCCTGCCCCCCGCCCCCGTCCCCCATTTAACATCAACACAACCACCCACTGGAGACCATCTCTATACTCGTTTATCCATCGATCGCTCCGGCCCAGCTACGCGCAAAGTGTCTTCAGAATGTGAAGGAGAAAAAGGAAAGCAAAGGATGCGAAGTAGCAAGCAGGCCGCACCATAATAAAGCAACCTAAAAAAGAAACTAGAAACGCGCGTCACAAAAAAACGGGAAAATCTCTGCACGGTCGATATCACTCTGACCATTTTGGCTTCACGTGTACGTCCGTATACCGCGTATGCTGTTGGTTTCCGTGAATCGTACATGTGTGATGTGTACCCTCCGTGACCGTGCATTCTCTACGGAGCTTCGCTTCGCTCTTGCATTCGATGGACGGCTGGGGGTTTATGATTACAATATCAATTTGAGGAAGGGGGAATAGGGAGAGACTATATAGACCAGCTGTCAGGGATTCTGTGTTTGGTCTCATCCTGATGGAGGGTAGATCAGACCGGCTGGGGCAAATAGGGGACAAATACTTGCCAGTCGCATCCATATCGATAACATGTGAGAACGGTGAGATATACCAAAGGTTCAGGTAAAACGTTGGATGTCGAACGTAAAAGACGTAAAGATCTATTTAGACGACAAGAACGTTTGCATCGGGCATTACAATTGAAGGGTCTTAATGTAGAACTTCTGTCAGGAGCATTATATCTAGAATTTCAGGGGGAAGAGTACTATGTTGTTAGGTTCCCTTCTCAATTTTTTGCAACTTTGCGTCGGTTTAATTTAATTAAAATGGAATCCGTAATTGCTATCTTTCTTATATAATTTAGTTAGTGTGCATTCGTGAACGTTTTGTGATTTTCCATTGTTTTATTTCTTTTTTCATTTTGCAGGATGGACAGCGTGCCCACCTAATGTGTACTTCCCGAACTGGGTGGCTGAGCCTGGTGACTGCGCATGCGCAGACAGCCCTCGACCAATGACGTCTCTTCTCGCGCGTGGGGTATGATCACCGACTTCACGACTCTTCGGTATTCAGTGGGCGACTAGCAGCTCTCGGCTCGCCTGTTACGCTGACTGCGTGTTGACGAAACACTGGATCGATACCCGGAGCTGGTTAAATTTTCCCCCGCGGAGTGCGAGGATCGATTCGGACAAAGTAGCCGGTACGGCACTCGCAGGACCTGGACTCTGGCACGCCTCCAGTCTCATAGTTAGTTGTGGAGAGATTTTCTAAAACCCAAGAGTAACCATCCTGGGTTAGCATCCGTCCCTTAGCTGTGGAAAAGACTTTGAAGGATTGCAGCATGGAGGAGGAAAGCAATTCCACGGTTGTACCGACTTATTTCGATGCAGATGGCGAGGAGGAAAAAGACGAGTTATACGGTCACGATGATAACACGCGGACGATAGCGATCTCCGTGATATTCGTGGTGACTGTGATCGGTAATGGATTGGTCCTCAACTGGCTGTTCGTGCATCGCCGAGAACGCACGAGAATACACGTGTACATGACTTTCCTGGCTTTGGCCGACCTGAGTGTGGCCATGATACCGTTGTTGGTATCTCTGATCATGACTCTCAAGGGTAACGTATGGGAGGGTACGGACGCAGGGTGTCGAATCCGTATGTTGATGGAGAGTATGGCCCTGATGGCCTCCAGTAACATGGTGGTCGCCATCGCGGTGGACCGCTACCACTCTGTCATGTTCCCGCTCCGCAAACAGCTCTCGGAGTTGAAAGTCATCCCGATCGCCTTCGCTCTGGCCTTGCTCCTGTCGCTGCCGCAGCTCTACGTGTTCCGCAAGGATGATTTCAACGGCACCAGCCACTGTAAGACCATCTTCAAGCCCGGCAACGACCCGTACCGCCAGGCGTACCTCATCTACATCGCTGCGGTGGTTTTCATTATCCCCTTCCTAGTCATCAGTGTAGCCTACCTCCGCATCGTGGCTAAGCTCTACAGCGACGGCAAGAATCTCTTCCAGAGCAACTGGAAAAAGTCAACGCGGTGGAGGACATTAAAAATGACCTTTGTCATAATCGCGGCCTACGTGATTTGCAACCTGCCGTATTTTACCATAGAACTGATCCGAGCCATTGCGGGCAGTGATAGCGTTAACGTGGTAGCCTACAGTATCTTCAGCGTGTTCGCTCCGTGTAGTAGCGCCTCCAACCCCTACACTTTCCTCTTCTTTAACGCGTGCCGGAAATCCAGGAATCGGAAGCAAGGCCAGGGGGCGACCACACAGACTGCCGTGTTGGAGCAGTCCACCACGCCTAGGCTGGGGCGAGAAGTCAAGGCAGTCGACTGCGCCTACAAGCCGGCCAGATCCCCAGTCAAAACGGCCATATGACAACAACAGTCCGGGTACCGCTCCTCTGAAGCGATAGAACTCATGGAACAAAGACCGAACGCGGTACCTGACTAAAACTTGGCCTTTTCTTATTCTCTCATAATAGTAGATGTGATAGATCATTATTGTATTCAGTGTATATTCATCTTTGTCTTGTTTTTGACAGCTTCACTGTGAACGTGTCTTAAAAGTGCTTGAATGTGTTCAACTCAACGATGCTTCAATTGCTTAATAAAAACTCATACAAAATATGATATGATAAAACTTTTTCTCCCCTATAATTATGTCGTATAATTTTGTAAAATATTCAATGAAGATATGAAACTTTTCATGCGACTCACGTGTATTGTCTGAGCAGAATATCACTTGCACATTAATGTTCACAGTGGTAGCTATACGTCAATTTTGTTTTTAATAATGTATATAGCGACAAGCGATAATGGACAAGAATAACAATGATCACAATGCTATAACTGAGCTTGATTTTTAAGAAAAACATGGTTCTGTAATACATGGTTCTTCTAGCTTCAATGCTTAGATTATAAGAAGATGTTGATTATATCGACCGCGGTGTTTGCAATGCAAGCTTTGACAGTAGAGCCAAACATTCTGAACGTACAATGTAGTTGTTCTGCCTTGCTGAAAAACTTAATACCATGCTGTTCCGTTGGCAAATTGTCCGAACGGCACATTATGTAAAATGGTATTTGGAAGTTTTTTATTGTGCAAAGACGGTTCGAGCAATGAGATAGGTGCTTATACTCAAAGTCTCAGCCTACATGCACCATGACATGGGCAGACTGCCATCAATGTGATTATACAGACAAACGCTCACCCGCCCGAAACACTTTTTGTGCATGTGGGGCGTATTCAAATGTTGTGAATTCAACAACCACTTCACGTTGAATGCCTAATGGAAAACGCCATATGTCCGCTGGCGAAACATTCATATTTAACCACAGTGTAAATATTCAAAGTCCACAACATGCAATAATTTCCCCTCCGACGAGCAGTGGAAATATTGCATTTTTAACTTGTTTCGGAGACGGGTGTTGGCTTTCACGTCGAAACTGAGAGTCGACGTATTTTAACGTCAGTGAAATATGAATATGAATCAATGACATATGGTATATTTAATCATTGAGCACAGTGAAACCTAAAACAGCGGATGTTCATAAACAATCTACTTCAGAAGATAAAAAAAAAGTGTACATAAACCAGGGACATTTTGAAGATGTCAAAGTGATGACTAAAAACATGTTCTCGTTAGCTCAGGAAAAAAGTCGTCATCCATGCACAACCAAAGTCGTGAAAACGCTCAGCCAATGACCAACGCCTACACATGTTTCTGGTTAGGGACGCGAGAACATGCCCTTGGGCAAGGCTAAGTTCAGACAGTTCTAGGAACATAAGAGGGCGTCTTGGAAATAATGACGTCACAACGTGTAGCAAACCAAGTCAATAATTATGTGCACGACTTCGTGGCTCTGCTTACCGTTAGCGAACAATCCCCGCTTACTGTATAGCAGAAAGTTCCGTGCTTACGGTAAGCGTATGTCACGGTTGACTTATGCGCTGCGTACATCCCGTAACTGAGGATTCTGCACTTGCAGAGGTTTTTTTCTGCTAGAGCTGTTAGCAAAGAATGGTGATCGTTAGCGCGGAAGTCCGTGGTTAGCAGAACCTTGACATTGGGCCCTGTTCAACAAAATGAAAGTACCTTTGCCACGATGTTTTAATGCGCGTTGCTGTCTTGATAACATACATGCCTTGAAGATTTTACAGACAAAACGTCGCGAGGCAGTGTGATATTTTTTTCCGAAGTTTTCAATTGTAGTAATACCTCGAAACTGTTTTTGCAATGGAAAATCCCTTACCATTTGAAGGGTCACACGTAAAAGGTAAATTGCTTTTGAAACCATCAACCCTAAGACATTGTAAATATTCTGACCGACTGATACGATCAAAAGACAAACGTTAACGACAGACACTGTACAGCTGACGTACCTTAATTCCTGTCATTGTGGTCTTATCAAGATAATAAACAGGAAAGTCGTAAGATTCCAGTCGCAGGTACGAATCTACTCTTGTTTCAACTTCCTTGAATGATCAGGCTCAGAAAATTGAATAATTACTCAACCTCCTTTAAAATTGACTTGCTTGAGAGTAAACTGATACCCATCGCACCTTTCATCTTAAATATTAATCTCCTTCCAACACTCTGGTCGCGGACTTAATATGCACGATCTCTCACGCGATTGCATTACCAAGGAAAATAATCGAGCAAGCCAATCACTATTGACCCCTCTCGCAGACTACGGCCCGCTGGGAATTCCTTACGAACGATGCCGCACCGCGTAGAGTTTCAGGGGCCCATTCGCTCTCGGACTATTTTTCTCTTCAGTGTTGTCCTCTCCGAGCAATCTTGGCTACACTATTGTAATGTAATATGATCCTGGACCATTCCATTTGTGCATTAAACGGACAGGCCATCAGGCCTCAGGCCATTGGCCTTTCTCCTTTTTTCTTAACAACAAATGTAAGGTGAAACATTCAATGCCAGATCATCAACCATTGACTGTGAAAGTTCCTGTACACTTATATTTCATTGATGGCTTTTAGAGGCCTGCCTTCTTTAAGACTTGCTGTTGTCAGTTCTTAAGCAATTGACATGTCGTTCTGATCCTGTCTATTCGTTGATAGCTTCCAAGTCAACAGGGACTTGTGTAGCCGGGAGATGACAGTTTGGCCAGCTGCCTATAATTAATGAATTACTTGACCCAATTGTCAAATATCCACTGGGGAAAAGTCCCTTGTAACATTCTTATTAACAGTGTCAAAGCCTTGAATAATTCTCTCGCTGTTTTGGCTTAGTTTTACACAGTTTTTACACATCGATACTAAACTATAGCCTTTAGAAAAGAAATAAATCTTATTGCTGAAACATGATCTAAATATTATTCTGACCTTACAGATACCTCGATCTGTAAGAGATGTTCAATTCATTCGCACTGATATAAATACTGTCTATTTGTGATTAATCACTGTTTGTAACGTAAGGACATTCGGTGGTTGTGTAGCAACGGGGCAGGAATGGTAATACTCAATACTTTCCCCGGAAGAAAGGCAAGAAAACAGAGCACAAACGAAAACAAAAAATGGCGCTTCAGTTCCATCATTCGAATTGTTTCAGTATGTAAAAAGAAAGTATTAAATTCGAAATTTTTGATTTAGAAAACTTGAGGACTTATCCAGCGAATAGAACATTTCTGAGAGACTCCTTGCAAAAAAAATCCAGGAAAAAAAAAGATATACTTTGATTTCGACGCCAAACTCTACGCAACATTAATGAAGACAGATGAACGGACGGACGGACAATCCGATGCGACTGTATATTTTAGTTGAATTTGTTTGATTATTGAAGATTTAGTTTAATTGCTGCACGGATCTTGATTCAAAATTTCACATTTTTTTCCAGACTTTGGAATTCATTAAAAATGATTAAATATGAACTGGTGTTGGTTAAGATCCAGTGTTTTAAGATGTGTCCTGAACTATTGGAAAACGGGTGGAGAAACCTGCATAAGAACTTGGATGGCCTCCCGAACTGACGTTAATCGTCAGAGTTTCCATGGCAACAAATTGGACGCAACCATTTTTATTCGGCCTATTAAGCAACAAAACGTGCTTGAAACTACATGTAGGCCTGTCTGTGTTTTTGTGTGTGTCAGCGTGCTTTAATGTAAACATTAATTATTAAACTTTTTCTGCAAGTGAAACTAAGTCATTTATTGTTATCATTGTAAACAATAATAAAAAAAATGGAATCCTATCCAAGCAATATCCATATTTGAATGACTTTAATTTTAATGATTTTAATGTGTCTAATTTAAATCCTGATATTCTCTGTCAAATAATAATAGACCATAAAACAAAAGAATGTTCTTAACACTTATTTCAGGTGTATGTTGATAAACATTCATGTTATTGTATATAATTCAAATAAATTATAGACGACGTAAGTGTGAACACATGTGGAGTATGCTTGACAAGATGGGACACATTGTTACTGGCCCGTGTATATAATTGCATGATGCAGATAGAGAAGTTACAAATAAATGTTCAGTTTATTTTTACACCGACGTATTATTAAGGATTGGTACGAAACGGTATTTCAACGGCGCATCTTTTTTACACTGTAAAAATTGCCCGGCGCATTTTTGTTACACTGTAAAAATTGCCCAATGTTGGTCAACTCATACCAACTGCCAACACTCTTGGGGAAATCCTTTCCAATAGTTTGTAATTTTTTTACCCAATGAGGTAACTTCATACCAACATGATTTCACCCAACTTTTTGTTGTTGTACAGTGTAGATTACATTAAGTGTTTCAATTTCTCCCCACTAGGGCAAGATAAGAAGCATTTAGTTCGAGAAACGATCTTCTGTTTTGTTAAATACCAATACCTCTGGACAAGTGTGAACAAAATAATGGAACACAAAATTTGTGCTTGAATGTGCGTTACTTTAAAAAAAATAGAGTTGAATCCAGCTGTATTGATTTTTTTTGGAGGGGTAAAAGTAAGGAGTGTTCCATTTTATCCCGTGTCCCATCTTGTCTCTGTTTACCATAAGACGTAACGACAACATAATCTTAAAGCAAAGAACTGTATATTACCAATGAATGAATAAACTCTCTCGAATGAAATTGGTTGCGGTGATTGTTTGTTTGTTGGGCTGTTGGGGTGTTTGTTTATTTTACTTTATTTTGTTTATTTTTGGGTTGGGTTGTTTTGTTGTTGTTGTTGTTGTTTTGTTGTTGTTGTTGTTGTTGTTGTTGTTGTTGTGTTGTTGTTGTTGTTGCAGCTGTTGTTTTGTTGTTGTTGCTGTCGTTGTTGTTGTTGTTGTATTTTTTTTTTTTTAACTGTCCCAGTTTGTCGTTCCTCAGCATGTTATTGGAACTGACTCACATGCAAGTTCATTTGCACCAATTGTTCACGCCACGTCTCCAGGCTTGTATTTCAGATTTTTTTTTTTTAACTGGCCAGCCGTCGAATTCTTTCCATATAATAGGCATGAATGTGCCTCATGCAGGTGCGAAAAGAGCACCCGCCAAATTACCACTTCAATTTCCCCCTCCTTCTGCGTGACGCACGGGGCAGGTTGGGCCGCTGATTAACCACGGTCGGACGGGGGGAAGTAGTACGATCACGCGTTCGGTGATTGGACTTAGCGCGAAAGATTTCTGAGTAATGCGCACCGCAATTCGGGCGTGCCGGGTAAAGCTAATACGAAATTTAAAAGCAGTGGGCTGGCAAGTGAACTCAGAATTAATGTCTCCCATCAGAGGCCCACAGTGCAATATGGCTGTCGCCACAACGGCTCTGCTGACTGCTACCGTATAAACGACTACCAACAATATTTGATGAGAATAATAGATTGACCCTTGCACATACTGTCGCCATATTGAACGTGTTTTTCGTAATGAATACAAGCAAGGCATGGCAAACTTATAGTTGGTCCCATTCCCAGAGCGCACAAAATACTCAGTTGATTCAGAATAGCTTTTCACTGGAAGTCTTTCCATGTACGTGTGTACACATGGGCCTGATCAGTAGCCCATTCTCTGGCGTTACGGAGTAATCCTATACGATAGGACTACCCAGCTTACAAGTGACAGTGAGCCAGTCAGTCAGTGAGATAGGTACAAATGTCTATTCGTGCGTATCCCTGTTCAACTAGGGCACTGCAACTCTCCAAGATGGCTGTTATGATAAAGACCTGTTAACTTTTGTATCTTAACACAAACAAATCGTTCCGTACCTGCAATTTCCTCCGAGAACGTCATCTTCTTCAGCAGTATATCCCGAGTGTTGAACCCGTGAGCTGTCAGTCACGTGATCCCAATACCTGATCACAATCTCCAGATTTACTTCTATCTCTCTCCATTGGTTAAGTCAGCAAAATATCCTGCCGGATACATCAACGCTAACTTGCATTGGACGGAACTTGTCGTTGCCGTACTTCATTCTTATAATGACGCCGGTCACTGCTAACCCCCCAAGCACAAAGTCTTACGAAGGAAACTCTGGTGTCGCGAAGCATTGTGGGTGTTTCAGAAATCTTCGCAATACGAGATAATCGTTCACCTGCCTCTCCTGATCTTGCCTTGAAAACAGATGTGGTAACTCTATGCAATCGTGTCCAATTCTGGTCAATCTTATCAGTTTTGTTCCATTTTTCTGTTCCAAATTATTTCTCTCTTGTATAATGACACCAAGGATTCTTCAAGCGTTCACTGGCGCTGTCACTCGCTGCTTGAAGAAATCTAGAAGAATACGATGAAGAGATGAAGGGAAGTTCAGTTTAACCCTAAAGGGGCCGGGTTATTTTGACCATCTCTCAGCCGGGGGGGGGGCGGATTCCGCCCCCCCCTAAGATCTCGGCCATCGAGTGACGAAAAATTTTGAAACTCAGCACATGCATAGAGCAACTCTTCCTAAACATGCCCAAGAAATTTCATGACTATAAGTCAAAGGGTTTTGGAATTATGGCTAATTAATTATTCATATGTATGAATGGCAATTCTGCTCGGTGTACACAACGTATATGCGAAAATTCAGTTTTCACGGCGCGTAGCGCCGGAAAATTTTTCGCTACGTGCCAACCCGTGGTCCGATTTTTATGTTTTTGGTATCAAAAGATGCGCAAAGCTCGAGGCTAAAAAGTCATAACAGCTCGGGTCGCGAGAAGCTATCGCGGAAAATGTTGAGGGGGGGGGGCGGATTCCGCCCCCCGGCCCCTTTAGGGTTAAAGGGTGGGATGAAATCGGAAAGGATTTTGCATCAGCCGTTTCACGGATACCACCATCTTTGTGGTCACGTGGTAATCTCAGGAGGCATTTCAATAGAAATACGTCCCATCGTGCTCATGATACAACGGCATGATGGGGTGTATTTCTGTTCAAATTCCCCCGGAGATTATACCCATTACAATTATGTGACGGAGGGGTACCCCGCATGTCCCTATTGACCATAATCATTCTGCCACCATTTCAGTCATGTCCCCTGTATCCAATAAAACTACTGAATGATATTTTTTTGTGCAAAAAGGAACCAGACTATTTTTCCTTCTAGCCTCGCTTTGGTTACGTTGATTTGAACGAGAAAACAAAAATCATGATGACCGCAACATGATAATGGTCTTTACCATATACACACCCAAGACTAATACTACCTAGCAACCCCCCCCCCCCCCGATACCTCAAAAGAATCCGTGAGATTCTGGTAACACAATGACTAGCACTAAAGAGGGGGGGGGGGGGTCCCCTCTGTCCCATATCTTGCCACATAGGCCGGAGATTACTACGTGACCACAAAGATGGCGGTATCCATGAAACGGTAGCCATATTGAATTTCAGGTGAGGTAAAATCTCCATTTTTGGCACTTGCCACACAAAGTGAGGCTAGCATGTATTATTATGTTTGAATAGTCTGGCACCACTCCATTCAACAGTTTACAATTAATAAAATACATTCAGGGAATACGACCAAAATGGCTTTCTCGGTCCACCGGGTAGTTCGACAAACCCAATGCCCTTTACGGCCTGGAAGGGAATCGAACCCAGTTCGCTTGGTGGTAAGCGAGGAAAGAAACACTGTACAAACCTTATTACCAAAGTACAGTGCTCAAGTTGAACATTGTATATCCTCCATACGTCTTTCGACGTCCCTTTGATGTGCTTGAGAACGGCCAGTTTGTTCCGCTTTCTGCTCAATCAGATCGTGAAGTGTTTCCTTTGCTTTAATGCATTCTCTGATCCTCTTAAGTTGTAGAAACCTCGCTCTAATGTCGTGTTACTAAAAAAACACTGTCAAGATTGACAAGGACAGTTTTACTCACGAAAAGGTGCATAACCTAACGAAACTCGGAGTAGATAATGTATTCAGCACTTACTCAACTGAGGAGAATAGTACATGCCAGGCAAAACGGACTAGACATTTCAGCGATGGCCACTTCAGGATAGACCTCGTTGAGCCGTTTATCAATGCCTTCTATAAACAATATCTGACTGGCCAAACAGAAAATATTTCAAGACAAAGCGGATTTACAGCTATTCAGCGCCCTGGAACTGCAGACTTCAACAAAGAACAGAATCGCAGGAATGCCCCACATCAGCGAGAGCAAAATTTGCCACTAACAACCCCCGCACTGTTGTAAATAATCAAAGTTCTGTGCACAATGACCGGGTTTACAAAATTCGATAGGAGGGGAAAATTGGAATTGTTGGAGAGCAGTACATCTTCCAATCCATTGTGCTGATGCCATGAAAAGGTCTCTTAAAATTGAACGGGCAACGTTGCTTGAGACCTAATTTAGAGACAACGAAGAAATTGTCGTTTTGTTCTAAAAGAAAAGGAAAAACCAGCATGATGATAAACCCATGACACTTTGCACGGGACTGAAAACTAAATCCGATCCGGCCCGGGCAGGATTCGAACCCTTGCCACATGCACAGACATGGGCGTCGCAAGGGGGGAAGGGGGGCAAGGGGCAGGGGCTCCCCCCCCCCTCCAAAAAAGGAAAACAAAAAAACAGAGGTGCAAAGTCATATTGCTGTTAATTTAATGCACATTGTAACAACATTGGCGTCCGCAGGGGTGTCAATAGGGATGGGTACGGGGGCAAACGTCCCGGCCCCCGCCCACCCCCGTACAAAAATGATAAATTGAGACTATGCTGGAGAAAGTAAAATGATTTTTAGGAAATAATGTGCTTTGCCCCATCTAGAAAAAAAACCATGGCGACGCCCATGTGCACAATTTCCACACTTGTGGTACGGCATAGGGACATAATTGCATTTTGTGATAAAAGCATGAAACTTGGCATGTGAGGTCTTCATACTATGACAACAAATTCCAGATATGGAGGCATTACATATCTGACCCCTGGTGACCTTTGAGGGGTCAATGACCTTTGAATACTCTATTTATACATATTGTTCTTGAAAACATCGCTTTCCTATGACCTAATTCTATGTATAGTCTTCATACAATGTTAATAACGACCAAATGCGGAAAAATGTCACAATAATTGACATTTGATCTAAATTTTCCTTTTTATAAGGGCAGACGCAGGCGCAATAGAATATAAAAGGCACATCGCACAAGCATCACTCTTGGTAAGAAGTGATGGTAAAAAGGTCAAAACATGGTTATCCAAGTCCATCTGGATACAAAATGGTGTAATAAGTACATAAGAGTGAATATTGCTTGACATAACAAAAATGTACATTTTCCATAACAAAACACACCCACAGATTTCTATTCCAGTCTCATCATATTACGTCTGCCAATAAAACAAGGTGAAACGAGGTCAGAGGTCACCTCAAAATTGCTTGTTGGGTCTGAATTCATAACATGAATGTAGACTAATAGATGCATTACCGTTCTTTGGCACTATTGAGGCTTGGGTCACGAAAAAAATGGCGTTTTGACAAATAAATATGATAAATAACGGCAAAAAAGTAGAGAAGATATACAGAGCTCATTGGCCTCTCCAAGGGTATCCCTACGTCAAATATGATGTCCCTACATCATGCAAATACTTTTCATGGCACAAAGATTTAAATTTTAGACTTGGGTCATGAAAAAAGTGGCATTAACAATTGTGTAAATCGTATTAATATCCATAGG